AGGAAAAGGCAATGCTTGCAGGATACGCACGACACGCGCCTACACGACATAATCGCTTCGGAACCATGATCTGGGTTAAACGAGACGACGAGAAAGTCACAACCATCTCGGGACAAGACGTACTCGGGAAGGCGCAAGCTAGTATGCAGAAGATGGACCAGACCAAGAAGTGGAACAAGCCAAAGTTCCGAGGTCGCAACAGTGACAAGGAACAAGATATGGAGGAGTTTGACTTGCCTGTCTCGCTGACGGCTTCAGCGCGAAAGCATATCAAAGCATTCGTCGAAGAGTTCCTCGACTCATCGTTCAACCCGTTGTTCCTGCATCTCCGGAAAGCGATCGAGCGCGAGACGGAGCGTGTGCAAGTACGGCATCCTCGACAATTCTTCTACCTGGCATCTTGGTTCCTAAAAGCTGAATGTGCGAGACGCCGGATGATGAAAGAGCGCGCAGCAGATCCCAAGAGTGTTGAAGTACTCACAGCTGAAGACGAGAGCTACGGCCTCGTCGCTGAGGTTATGAACCAAGAAACTTTCATCCTCTTGAATCGGTTCATGCAAAAGAGTCAAGACGAAAAGGCATGGCGAGATCTGAACGCAGGGCTTAGATGCTTCACTCAGATCTTGCTTACCGTCCACGAAATGTCCGAGTCGGCGTTGGAAGACGATCAAGAAATCGCAGAGAACATTCAGAATCGTATCTTCTACGAAGAGGCTACACATGACCGCATCATCACGATATTAAGATCTTACAAAGATCAGGGGTTCGGATATCTGGACGCCGTCACAGAATTATCGCACGTGTTTTTACGAATGCTCGAGCGCTACTCAAAACAAAACGTAGACATGCAAATACGATCGAAGAAGCGAACTCGGAAGATCAAGAAGAAGCAAGTGCAAGCGGCTGGAGAAGGAGGTGAAGACGAAGGTCCACCCTCGGAAACTGAAGACCTACAACAAGCACAAAGGACTGTATCAGAGCGAAAATTCGACTTCGCGCGCTTCTCAGCCAAATTTGTGAATCAAAGTAGCGTCAATACTTTTGTGGCATTCACAAGGTTTTACAATGACCTTGACACTGAGCAGCTGAAGCGTGCGCATCGCTTCTTCCACCGCGTAGCGTTCAAGATGGAGCTAGGTGTTTTGCTATGTCGAGTAGATATCCTGGCACTGTTCAACAAGATGATGAAAGGCCCAGAAGGCCTGGACCCCGACTCTCCGGCTTACAAAGAGTGGGACGATTTCGTACGATACTTCTTCAGACAAGTCGTAAAAAGGGTGCAAAAACGTCCCGAACTTGTGGTAGAGATGCTCTTCAGCAAGATCCCAGCCACGCTGTTTTTCCTCGAGCATGGGTATGATCGAGAAATAATTGTGAGGGCGCCGCGAGCGCCAGCAGAACTGGAGGTCAAGCCCGGCATGGAGCACTCTGAGCAGATTGGTGTTGCAGTAGGCGTGCTGGTCAATGAATCAAAGTCTGATGCGTTACGGTGGATAAGAGATGTACTCACCTCAGCAATTGAAGAGCGTAAGGCTTGGGAGGATGCAGATGAAGCGCGCAAGTTACTCGCAGCTGCGGAACTTGGGGAGGGCGATGGCGTCGCCGAGAACCCTGAAGTTGAAGCTGAAGCGCCAAAGCCGCCATCGATTCGTAAGTCCGAACAAGTCGATGAGTTGCAAATCTGCTGACAACACTAGTCATCAAGCACGACACTGAAGAACGCCGAGTTGCTATGTTCAAGGATAACAAATTGCGATTGCTCATGAACCTCGTAGGACTCACAAGATTGGGCGAACCTCATGACCCAGATGCTAGCTGGGTAATTCCTTCCTCGCTTACGTCTACTCAACTGCAGGAAGCAATCGATCTCATCCGCAAGTTTGAATATGACCCACCAATTTATGAGGATGGTAAAGGGCCTGAAGCCCTGATTCGTAGCAAAGCAGTGGCAGCACGCCAATCGACACGTCGAGCTGAATTTGACGACGACTCGGATGGCATCGACGACACACCTGAAGATCTCGGTGAATATGCTCCCTTGGGACCAACTACACGAAAACCAGACGAACTCCGGAAAAAGCTCGTACGACGCCGCCGAGAACGGACACCGGTAGAGCTCGACGAAGAAGAAATGGATCGTAGAGCAGAAGCCCGCCGCAAGAAAGAAGCTAAGAAGAAGGCAGCGGAGAAGAGCACAGCATTTGTACATGATTCCGACGACGAAGACTGGGATGAAGAGAAAGACGCTGCGTTCTTCGCGCGAGAAGAAAGAATACGCCAAGAGACACAAGAAGCATTCAAACGGTCACTTGCACTCGGTAGTTCAGAAACTGCGGCTTCGAAGAAGAGGAAAGCTGATGAGCCGGAGAAGAAGAGTAAGAGGAGGAAGGAGCCGCCGAAACAAAGGAGGCCGTTTGAGGATAGTGATGATGAGGAGATTGAGGATGCTGTCAGTAGCAGGGCGGTTTCTGAAGATGCGAGTAATAGCGCAGATGAGGATGAAGCTACGGACACTCCACTGTCTTCACAGAATGCTGCAGCTGCAGCTGTCAGTGATGATGATACACCGAGGAAAACTGCAACGACGAGCAAAGATATCGCTATGGATGATGCGGAGGAAGAAGACGACGATGATATTGTGCCAGTCGCGAGAAAACCTGCAGGGAGGAATACGAGGGCGGGATTTGTTATCGACAGCGATTCAGAGTGAAGGTGAACTCCATTCATGGATACTTGAGGCAGTCTAGCACTTCGGTTGGTTGGCCAAATGCTTGCATATCATGGCGTTTCGAGTTCCTATTTTTCCAGTGTTGGAATACCCTCAATGTTACGACAAAGTCTCGGCTGCCTACATATTGTCTTTCTCTCCACAACCTGGTGTCTCCGCATTGGTCATGAACTTTGAACTTTCAATGTCCAGGTACTTGTACTCATTGTGCACAACTAGCTGACTCTGATTGGTCTTGGCTGGACCCTGAACGATTTTGGCTCCTTTCTATGTAAAGAGGTCGGTGTTGCCCGTTTGCTACTTTACTTGTCTCGCGCCTTCCACGATCACAGTTTCCCCAGCTTCAGTTTCTCACCATCGTCAACACCAGATCAGAGCTGGTAAGTAACCCCTCTAGACACGCTTCGTGTCACGTTATAATCATGCTAAGTTATTCCCATAAACAGAATTTTGAGCGGATACGCGCACACTGGGAGACGGCGCAGCCCGGTGACGCACATGCGGACAGTATGGTAGGTAGACGAGAAAAGCAAGCGGTGCAGCAGCCGGAGAGCAACGAATTGCAAGAGAATGGCCCAAGCAAGTTCCGCAGGAAGCTCAGTTATGGTCTTGCGTTCATCTCCAATCCTCTCTCGCAGCGAAAGACCACTCCAGGACGGCATTCGTTGAGAGTGCCATCATTGGCTGTTACCGATACCGAAGCTGATACAGGTGATGCGGCCAGTACAAGGGAAGCCGTTGACGAATGCGACACTTCGTTTTCGTCAACAGTCGTCACTAGGCCAAATGTTTGCTCTGACGATACGCCAACGAAGCCCACAAGACTTGTGAACAACGCCCACACTACGAACAGCGCAACCAACGACACAACACCTCGGGTGGTCCCACGATCGCGAACCTTCAGCTTTATACCGCGCCCTGTATCAATTCAGGCCCTAGCCACGACCAGCGTAGATATGAACACGAGCATCAATTCGGTGATATCTTTGTCCACAGCAGACCCAAAATCCAACGCTTCGCCATCGAAGATCCCTACTCCAAGTCCACCGCTCTCTGAAAACCGCGGGTCAAGCCCACGTCAGCATCTGTCGGCCCAAACGTCATCACAGCTCAAATATGTCGCGTCCACTCAACTCTCCGAGGCAAGGTCCACTGGCACCATCACAAAGACTGCGATGCGGTCACATACGACGCCGAAATTGGTAAATGTCACCAATTCACAACAGCCAACCGGCGTCACAGTGCCGAGGAAGTCTGCGCTTAAGAAAGTTGCTGTACCTCCTGTAGTTGAGAAGCCCCTTCTGCAGGAGAATTTCTCTGACAGTCGGCGTATTACTCAAAGACGATCTCATATCCGAGAAAACCCTTCGGGACGCGAGTCTCTAGCAGTGATCGGAAACACACCAAAGAGAAAGTCGTTCGGGCCTGCTGCGTCCGCGCAGAGCTCTCAACTTGACTACACTACGCCGCCAGCGGACAGAAATCGTTCGAGCATGTATTCTGCACTGCAGACTCCGATGACCGCCAGAAGATTCCAGCCGAGACTGCATGTGAACAGGCCAGCATCAGACGTGGTTCAGGTAACTGGCAACGGCATGTTTTCGCAACCACGTCTCATGGGTCCCAAAGATCCGCCCACGCCAACACCGAGCATTGACTTCATGCAACCCGGAATCCAAGATAAAACCGTTCGTAATGACTTGCAGAGAAAGACCTTGGGTACCCCAAACGGGTTGGCTGGTGTTTGGCGGTCATCACGCGCTTTGGCTGCCACAAACCATGAGGTGAGAAAGCTTCCCCGTTCCTTTACTTTTCATAGTTTTGGACGGAAGGAAGCTCCTCCACCATTACCTTCTATCCCTGAGCAGAATCGACCAGAATCGTTGGCACACATCACCAAGTATCAACACTCACACCTGGAGCTGGACACAACAAAGCCGCGGCCTGAAGACAACATGCAGGGAGGAGATTCTAGTGCTTCGACAATAAGGGGTTTGAACGACGACAAGTACCGCTTCAGTGCAAAATCTACGGCCACCCGAAACAATGTAGCTGAGACCCCTGCAACGGAGTGCTCAGATACCAGTAGTGTCTTTGTAGCGCCATCGCGACCACCGCCACCACCACCACCGCCCGATACACCGGTCGGCCGGCGATCTTTATCATTACACGACTTGGAAAGCCATTCTCCAGGTGGTTCTAGACGTCGGCCTTGGCCTATATCTTTTCAATCCGATTCAGACAATGCTGACATTGATTCAATCCTGCAGGTCAAAGATTACATGCCTCCTCTCTATTGGGCTGGACGATTCCAGTCACGATTCGATCATTGGCGCACTGAAGCAATGCTCGGGCATCTCAACCCTGATCACGTTCGGACGGGGCCCATGGATGGGTGTAATCTTGACCAGGAGAAGCTGGCATCGTGCTATATATTTGGTCAACTGCGTGATCTCTGTACGACCAATCAAGCAGCAGACAGTCTGTGGGTATGTTGTTTCAGCCTTTGCTACAATTTTCCACTGAAAGAAGTCACTAACCGCACTATAGGAATTCGAGTACAGGTATAGGAAAGATAATAAGCTGCTCGGCAATCCACTCGAGTTCCCAGCAATGTTACCGTACCGTAAGCAAGACGACAAGGCGCCCACCCATCAAGGAGCCTTCGGAAGAGCTGTTAGGAAGCTGACGCCACGGAAGTCTAGCCTAGTCAACTTGCGCAATCTGCTCAAAGGGAAGGGGAAGGGAGAGGAAGAGGGCGCTGGTATCTTGTCCGAAGGAGAGGTGGACACATCATCTGGCGATTCCTAATCTCTAGACATTTTGCGTTGCTGCGAGGTCCTCGGACGTTGCTAGGAATATGGCCAGTTTGTATGAGATGACGAGGATTGCTGTGCATGTACTACATGTGTGGGCACTACAACGATTTTTACAACATGAGTGGTATGAACTTATGACTTGGGAGGATGGTATTGGGCCTAGTGTACATTGCTCCGGCCTTTAGTATTCATCATCACTGCTATTTGGACTAGTGTGACACACAAGCTCACCATTCCACATCATGAAAGTGGTATTGGGCATGGATGGAGAAAACCATTTGGAGTAGGTTCGCAAGTAACATGCCTCTGGATTAATAGCCTTTGTTTACAGAGTGACCAACAATGCGATCATTGCAAAGGCTCTACTCTTTCCTCTCTCCTCCCACCGGCTTCGGCGAGAGTTCTTCGACGATATTATTAGGATCCTTCCATGCCAGCGCAACGTACTTTGTATGACTTCCCCTTGCAAAGACCTCGCCTTTGTTATTGCTGAAGTTTATGGATGTAAAAGCTAGTGTCTTGCCAACTAAGGTGGTATGTTAGGTATTGTATCACTATAAATAGAGAGAGAAAATGGCGCACAAAAGTTGGGAGAAATAGAAAAGGACCAGAGCTTACACTTGTCACACGTTACTTCTGCTTTGACCAAGTCACCGATTTTGCCACCCGAAGAGAGGTAGGTGACGTTTAGGTCTGTGGACACGCCGGTTGCGAAGAGACCGCGGGAAGCTACGGCTAGGGAGCCTCCGAGATCAACTAGAGGCTATTAGTGTTGTGTTAGAAGCCGGTTTAAGGTGGGAAATGATGAGGATATAAGGAAGGTTAGATGTACCCATGCTGGCTATTGTGCCGCCATGAAGGATGTTGAGACGGTTCTGTGTGAGAATTGAGTTTACGGACTAGGAATAGAGGGATGGAGATTAGAATGCATGACATACAGTGTGCTCCTTTTGTATATCGAGCTCGAACTTGACACGGCCTGGGACTGCGGAGGTCACGCGGAGCTATTGGGCGGATAGCGTTAGTCTTTGTTGGCCGAGTATATGGTGTTGTCGACAAAAGGCTACATACGCCATCCAGTAGCCTATATAAAAGCGGTTTGAATCAGTTCCAATTGCTCTCTGCCTGGGATGAGAGCAAAGTACCTTGGTTCCAGACCAGAGTTGGCTCGGAAGGACTCCCAGACCTGCGTTGTGATTAGCAGTCCAAATCTTTGTGGGATTGCTTTCTCAGATGACTTACAGAGCGCACGAATCTTGACGCAGGCATGGCGATTACTTGTTTGCTTGCCAATCTGGTCAAATGTGATGGTGTTTGGTTCTCACTCGGCACTTGCACATACACGTGCAGTCTCGGGCGCTAGTCCAGGGCGGGGCGGAAGCGGGGCCCTAGTCCCGCCCACTTGGCGCGTCATTGTACATTTCGCGACGAACGCTGCCTTCTTTCACCATACCGGGTACTTTTTGACTTTACCACGCTTCAACGTCGCAACACACCCGTTCTAGTCGGGCAAGGGACACCCTTTGAATATGATACTACGGAAGTAAAATCGTATACACCTCCCGTCCACATCATCCGCGATGTCGGTCTCGTCGTCAACGCAAGCGCTCGAGTACCTGGAGGGTCTGCCGCTGGCGACGCACAAGAAGCTCTATGAACAGCCTAGTACGGTGCTTGCGGTGTTTCGCTGCATGCTGCCGCATTTGGGTGAGTAAAGAACCTCTCGAAGAAGGGAATGGGCATGGCTGACAAAACAAAGCCAAGTCTATAGTCATGGCCCTGCTGTACATGCCCACCTCACTCCCTACCACCGACCTCGACGCCTGGTTTAAGTCCACCGCGCGCAAGGAGAAGGAACAGGCGCTCTTTATTCTCGATTGTCTGCACATAATTACGCAGCAGCGCAACGACGACGGCAAGACCTCTTCGTGGGCATTGACGCCAGGCTTCCAACGGAGCTTGCGCAATGCGCTTGAAGGTGCCGGCTCGCACTGTTCGTTTGGTGTGCCGGCGACTCGGGAGGAAAGTGGAGGCAAAAAAGTCAGCGTTGAGTTTCTGGACGAGTACTCGAGGGGGCAATGGGAAGGCATACTGTACTATCTTGTTAGCGGCGCTGCGGGACTGCGCAGCGACAGTATATCCAGGGCGGAAGTTGGGCCAGGGACCAAGAAGTTGTTGATGGAGGGCGATTTGGTGAGGGTTATACATGGGACTCCTAGAATAACAAAGGACGGATTCTCGTTTGTGCTGCAGGAGACGAATGCGCAGGTCTGGAGTCTGCTCATCGTCTACCTGAAGATGGTCCATGAGGTAAGGTTACCCGACCGCGTCTGTCCACGAGAATCCGTCTAGAATGACTGTGCTAATGTGAACCAGCTTGGAATGTCTGAAACAGAGGTCCTCTCTTTCCTCTTCATGCTGGGCTCTCTCGACCTTGGCCGCGACTACTCCATCTCAACACTCTCTGACACCCAACTGCAAATGCTCGACGACCTCTCCGCAATGGGCCTCGTATACCGCACCTCCAAAGACGCACGAACATTTTACCCCACCCGCCTGGCCACGACCCTAACCTCGGACTCGGGCAGCGCCATGTCTGCCTCAAGCAACGACATCGCCCAAGCCAACCAAGGCAACGCCGGCACCCTCGCCACCGCAAACAAAGGCTTCATCATCATCGAAACAAACTACAGACTCTACGCCTACACCAACAGCCTCATCCAAATTGCCATCCTCAGCCTCTTCACCAAACTCCAACACCGCTTCCCCAACCTCGTCTCCGGCAAACTAACAAAAGAAAGCGTGCACAAGGCCGTCTCGGCAGGCATCACCTCTGCCCAAATCATCTCCTACCTCTCCACCTACGCCCACCCGCAAATGCAAAAAAACGTCTCCTTCATCCCGCCCACGGTCATGGACCAGATCCGCCTCTGGGAATACGAGGGCGAGCGCGTCGAAGTCACGCCTGGGTTTTTGATGAAGGATTTTGGCTCTGATGCAGAGTATCGCGATGTCCTGGGCTATGCGGATGCGCTGGGTGTGCTCGTCTGGAGGCGCGATGAGCAGCGGTGCTTTTTTGTGAGCCAGATTGAGCAGATTACGGCGTATTTGAAGAAGAGGAAGGAGAATAGGGAGATGGGGAGGAGGTGAGGATGGTGGGGATTGTTTAGGGGAAGTGCTGTGGGGAATGGCATTGTTAGGGCGTTTGAGAGTCTGGAAAAGGTATATCATTATATACATCATCAAATCGGGCGTTGTGGTGGTGTGACTGGTTTTGCATATCAGTATTTCTCTTTTTCGTTTTGTTCTAGACACGGTGTTTTTTTTTACAGCTGGTCGATTTGCCATGTAGAGTATGAATCTAATTCGACATCTTTCCCCCATATCCATCTCCCTTTCCACGACTTCCACTTTTCCAAGATATACAATGTCCGAAATACCCAACACTTGCCCCATCTCCCCCCTCTTCAAAATTCAAACTCCCAGCAATTAAAAACAACGACACCAGAAATGCATTTTCCCTGGCCACCATCACCAGGATCACAAGACTTGCAAAAATCCACACTGACAGACAACGCATTATATACTCGCTACACTACTCCTCCCCCTTCCTCTCCCTCCAACAATCTACCCTGCGCATCAGGAAGGAGTACATTCTCCGGCCTATCATCGTCATCGTCCTCATCCTCCAACTCCCCTCCAACCGGCGCACCAGCGTCGGCCCGCACATCCAGCATCTCGATTTCCGCAGGCCGGGCCTCCGCCAGCTTCAACGCGTTAATTTTCGCCTTTGTAATTTCATACACATATTGGCCCAAGTGCTCGACGCCCTGCATGATACTTTCCTCGAGCTGAGGAGTGGGTGTGGCATCTGCGGTATCAATGGCGTTGGATTGATGCTCGGCAGTTGCAGTTGCAGATGCAGATGCAGATTCGTCGACCTCGGCAGTGACGATTTTCCTCTGGCAAGAGCCCCACATTTCGCCTTGGACGAGCGCCAATTGGTCTGGACGCTGTAGTAGGATGTCGAAGGCGGGTTTGAGCTCGAAGGCGGCTTCGAAGACGGTGCGGCGGCCGAGGATGTATAGGCCGAGGCGGGCGCGGGATAGGGCGACGGTGAGGCGGCGGAGGGAGCGGAGGTAGCCGATGGAGCGGGTGCGGACGAGGGAGAGGATGATGTCTGTGATGGTGTGTTAGTGGTATGTTAGGTGGAGGAAGGGGGAAAAACTAAGGGGCGATAGTGAAAAAAGGGGGAAGAAAAACACATACAATCGTTTTGCTCGCCCTGGTACTTGTCCACAGTCGCCACTATCCTCGGCCGCCCAAACAGCGGATTCTTACTACACCGCACCCCCAACACGTCGTTGATTAGGCTCTTCTGCCCGGCATACGTTGTCAGGATACTGATCTTGGCCGCGGGATAACCCAGCAGCCTCATGTACTGGAATAAGCTGACTGCGTACTCTGCCTCGCCAAGATTGACAATCCAGTGTGGCGTGGGCTGCTCCTCGCCCTTGCCCTTGTAGTCCTGCACATCAATGAACTGGTAGTCGTACTTGAGGCCCGGGTTTGCGAGTTGGAATTCCGGGTTGGATAACGTGGGAGGCAGGTTTGAGAGCGAGGGGTAGCGCCACTTGTAGAGTTGAGCGAGCGAGGGGCGGGCTCGACCTTGCTGGTCTAGCAGGATGGTTGGGACGCCGAGACGTACGAGGCGTTGGAATAAACTCTGTTCGAGGTTGGCGTACTGTCTGAATGCGAGGTTTTGGATCACAGGCGCGTTTTGCAGGTGGTCGCCACAGAGAACGATGCGTTGGAGGGGCAACTGGCCGTTTTGTGGGTTTTGCAGGGCGAGCGGGATAAAGGTTTCGATTTCGGTGATCTGGGCTGCTTCTTCCATAATAAGGTTGTCGTAGTGGAAGCCCAGGGATGCGATTTCTTGTCTGCGCATGGCGGCGTGTGTCGATGTCATGGCGATAATACGGGCTTCCTTGATGAGCAGGTAGTTTGCCTTGTCCCTAGGGTTGCGCAGGATTTCAAACGGCCGGATGTCCTCGAGCTCGGTGAAGATCTTCTCCACATGGCGGTAGCAGCCCTGTGCGATTTCGAGAATCTGCTCGCGGTCTGCGGCTTGTGGGAAGAGGGGCTGCGGGGCCGTGGAAAAGTAGTCGTGAAAGGGGAATTCAGAGATGATTTGGTCGACGCTGGTGTCTGGAGAGGTCACGCTTTCCCAGTACTGTGCCCATGCGGGCTTCACGTAGACGAGGTTGAAGTAGTCGGCTGTCTCGCAGGAACTACCATGAGCACCTGGTGCACCAAAGTTCTTCGCAAGACGATCCACTTCAGACAGATAGTAGTTTCCTCTTTCGAGAAACGACTCCACTCTGCCATGCTTACTGTAACTCGCATCTGTTTCGAGGTCCTCTTCACCATGACCCAGACGGAGGAGGTGGCGCTCATCGATATCCAGCGCCACAATCTTCTGGAACAGCTGATTCAGCGCCTGGTTGCTGTGCGCCACAAGCAACGTCCGCTGATCCGGAAAGTTGTGGTATATATTGGATATAATCTGGGTCGCCACGTCCGTCTTTCCGGTACCCGGAGGCCCGAGCACGACCGTCAAACCAGGCTGGGTTCCAGATGTAATGGCCTCGACCTGAGCTGGGGTGAATCTGACTGCATTCACCTTGGGTGCGTCGGCAGGGTAGGGTCCCATGTTCGGGGGCTTGTAGGTAGACACTTGCAGCACTTCATGCAGAGGTTGTGCCACCTCGACTTGATCACGACGCCGCTTCTTCGACGGCTTTGCAGGAGCAATCTCTGGCTCAGCAGCTGCAGGGTAATGCAGCACGTATGGAGGACCAAAAGGTGCTTGTGCATCGTCCAGGGGTTCAATGGATTTGCCAGGTAGGGATTCGATCAGGTGCTCCCAGTTCAAAAAGGTATCACGGAAGTCGATCGAGTTCAGTCGATTGGGAAGGCGCTTGTAGGTTGCAGAGGCAGGGTCGCCATATCCGAGAAAGACCTCTTGCTGCCATGAGGGTGCAGGTATGTCCGAAAGGGTGAGTCGTCTGATGGACTCCAGGATCGGCAGGAAGTTGTTTTCCCGGCCCTTCCGGCGGACGACAAGGTTGATGTGCTCGTAGATGTTGGGGCGACCTTCGGCAGTTCGAACCATGTCGGTCTTGTATTGCTTTGCGTCGATGTTGACGATGAGCCGTCGTTGACGTACGCGGGGCCCAAAGCCATCATTGTTGCGTGTCTGATCGCGAAGTGGTCGCCCGTTCTCGTCTTGGATTTGAATCACCCGAGCACATCTCAAGCTGTGTAGTCCAAGTTGTTCTCCGGCGTTGGGTTCATGGTGACTCCCGTTCCGCATGGGCACATCCTCGTTGCCCTCGACTGCAAGCAGGAACACGACATCATCGGGCCTAAGCTGCTCCCACTCTCTTCGTACTGGAAACTGAAGACGGCTAACATCGAGCATAATTTCTGCTCGAACATAGGCTGGATGGTCTTCGCCCACTTTTGAAGGGGCCACATCAACTACTGCGGGTCTCATGATCTGAAGCGCCATCTTGGAAACACCCCCAAATCTCACATTGGCACCCTTGCCTTGCGGCTTCATACGCTTGACGACATCCTCCATGTCCTTTCGAATCCCATAGAAAGCTTCAGCCCGGTACAAGATGAAAGATCTCCATAAGAAGTCGCCCATGGTCAGGTACTGGAGGTTGAGTTTTGGTATAGCCAGCGGTCTTGAGCCGTTGTAAGACTCATTTCGCAGGAATGTCTCCTCGTACAGAATCTTTTCTGTCGGTAACGCGGGCATGTCACGTACAATGTCTTTGAACATTGGCCTTCGTTCGACCAGCGCGATGAGAGCCTCCATGTAGAATGCGCGGTCTCGCACAAGGTAAGTCGAGCTTGGATACTCGGTTCGAAGACCCATGAGCGAGCACAGCTCCACAAGCTCGGTGTCGTTCAGTGCTCGCAGATGGCCATCCAACTCTTCCCTGTTTCCAATGCTCCCATAGTTGGCAAGTGCCATCAACTGCAGTTTTTCTTGATACGTCGCATAGCCTATCCGTTGTAGTCTTGCCAACGTGTCATAATGCTGCTGGTCGTATTCCAACTTGGTGTATTGCCTTCCAGTCTGGTCCTCGATGGGGAAGTTTGTGTAGTGGTTCAATAAATCATGCAGATCGCGGAAGAGACCATTGTCTTCGTCCGTGTACATGGGTGACAGACAAATCGCAGGCAACAAGCTCAAGTCCCGTAACAGCGCATTGACATACCTTCTCGTAGGCAGCTGGCTCTGTAAATCTGTCAACAGCTCCATGAAGCGCTCGCAATAGGCCAGATTGTCTGTCATTTCTTGCTTGGTGTTGCTGTTGTATAGGCGGTCGATAAAGTCCAGCAGCAGTGTATACAGCCATGAGCGCTCAAACCGCAGCTTCGCCTTCAGCGCATCATCTCCAGCATCGAAGCGTTTTGACGTGGCTCTCCACGCCTTGCGCAACATCTGGTGTTCCTCGAACTGCTTCTCCCGCACAGCTTCCGAGTGGAGGTTCTGCCATATCGATATGCCCACCAGTGGCGCGCATTCTTTGCGTACGAGACCGCTGTCTAGTGACTGGAAGGCGCCAATGACGAAGGAGATGAGCTGTGTTCGGATCTTGCTTGGCTGTGAAGGGTCTACCGTCATGGACAGGATGCGACGAAAGAAGGACGAGAATTCGGCAGGTTTGCTTGCAAAGTGTTCTTCGATATGTCAGCCTCTGCCTCGTGTGTGATCAAATAGTATCTCGTTGCACTCACCCCAGCAAGCCAAGCCCTCTCTCCTCTTGACATTGACCATGAGCGCCAGAAGCAAATGGTGGTAGTTTGACGCATCCTCTGTAAACCCTGGCCATAGGTACCTCTCCAGCAACTGTAGATTCTCCAGCATGAGTAGCGACGAGTACGCAAACTCGCCATTCTCCAGCTCGTCCCACAGCTCTTTCTTCACCACCTCGGGCCGTACTTTGGGCGGCTTCTTTGCACCCAGCCAGTGCTTCCTTGCCACCTGCGCAAAGTGGTTCTCGCCATGTAAATCTGCAACGGTTGGACGGGCATGCTGAATCGCAATCGCATCGCTGGTCGCATGCGCCGACGACGCGCTCACCGGGCCAGTAGGCTTGATATCTTCCATTTTCCGGAGCCGCTTTTTTTTTCCCCTCCCTCTTATAAGTCCGATGGTAGTATTTCGGCGGCGCACGTCAATCCCCCTGCGCGCATTGTTCGTCCTTTTTGGTGTTTCCAGAATCTGGACGGGTGTTCAAAAGCGCAGACGCGCCAAGAGATTCTAACAGTTGGAGGTCGCGCGTAACGGGAAAGGGACGCTTGCCGCGCGCAAAAAGACTCTCAAGAGGAGCCGGGCCCGCTGCGGCGGCAAGTGCCGTCACCTTCTCGCAACCCCAACCTCACCTCGCCGAACCAGCACCCACGTCACGTCTATCAGCAGCGCACCACGCCAGACGGCCACCAACATACCCACATAGACACGCACACACGCAATGGCTTCAGCTCAGGACGCCGCGGTGAGGCACCAGGCTGTTGTGCCGGACAAGGTTCCTACGGGAGAGTATCCTGTGAGTCCAAATTGCGGATCTTGAGTCTGGAGCAATGCACCGGCTAACACACCTGACAGCTCATTGACAATGACCCGTACGCCCTCACGAGAACCCCGCGATGCGCCCATTTGGCAGAGTGACTAACGTAGACGAAGACACATTTCCCGCGTCTTGCGGTATACCCGCCCATCCGACTGGCTCCAAGGCGCCGCTCTAGGAGCCATGAGTCCCGGTCTGATGCTGTATTGGGAACGAATCTCGCCCTCGTTTGTCGGAAAGGGTGGGTTTGCACCCATTATGCGATTGACTGGTGCTGTGGGTGTGACGGGGTGCTTCATCTTTGCGTACACCAGGTCGGCAAGTAAGTTATACCTGCATCTCAAACTCCCCCTTCCACTCTTGCCGTCTGCCTTTGAAATACATGGTGGGGGCTGAGCGATGCTGATGCCACGGCAGTGCGATTCTACGGCGCCCGCGAGAACCGCCGCGAAGTGGAGATGGACATGCGGGAGATGGTTGACAAGGTCAAGAGGGGTGAGCCGCTGTATGGCACCACCGAGATGACGGATTATATGCAGGGTGTTGCGCACAGGAATTCGCGGTACGCGGCGACATTCTCACATATCATCCCTTGGCCCAACCTAGTCCATCACCCCCACCATGGCGTAGACACCGCCAAGTACTACAGGCAGGCCGAGTTGGAATTGGAGCAGGAGAGGAACGGACGGTAAACAGCAAACTACTGGAAAAGGAATGGATGGCACAGGACAGGATGAGGAGATTTCTTTGCGTTAGACTATGGCAAGGCGTGTATATAAGTCTCCCAAGAAACAGAGGACAAGGAGACGAATGCAGATGCACTACAAGTTTCCCTTCCCCTTAATCTACCCCGAAGCCAAACTCGCCAAAACCTTCTCCCTCCCAAACTCCTCCATCTTAAACCTACTAATCCAATCATCCCGATTCAAATAAGCCCCACAAATCCGCCTCTTCCCCGTAAACGCACTCCGTCCATGCAACACCCGCCAATTATCGAAAATCAACACCCGCCCCGGCGTCAATTGCTCCCAATACTCATTCTCCTTCTTCTTAAGCAGCGCGTCGAATTTGCGCGCTGCGTCGTACCACTTGCCGACCGTGTCAATCGGGAGCCCGATCCCAGCCCGATCTGCCGTGTTCCAGCGGACGCGGAGTAATTCGCCCGTGGTGGGGTCGTGTTCGAGGACGGGGAAGCCGCGGTAGGGTTGAATGCTGATGCCCTCATTCCCCGAGGCGTGAGCGTGTATATTCACGGTAGCGAGAACATGGTAGGCTTCTGGGTCCTGTTGTTTGAGGTCGGCGGCGACTTTGAAGCCGTCGACGAGGAGGGAGGCACCGCCTGAGCCGTCGGTGTGGGAGAGCAGGTGGAATGCCTGGAGGCCGGCTGGGTCGGAGAAGTAGGTGGTGTCTGTGTGGGCTTCGAGGGCGATGTTGGTGTAGGCTGTATCCTTGGAGGCAAGGTCAGCGGTGAAGTCGTAGAAGCCGCCGTAGTGGGTTTCGCGGATGAAGGCGATGCGGCGGAGGAGCTGTTCGGTGGGATCCGGGGTGTCGAAGGGGGTGTTGTCGACGTAGCAGAAGCCGTATTGGCGGATGTTTTTTAGAATGGGCTGGATGGATTCGGAGGGGTTGTTGCTGACGTTGGGAGGAGATGCGGCGATGGAAGCATCCCAGAGGGAAAGATTGATGAGACCTTGACGGATGTCTGCTTTGATATCTGCGGGCAGGGCTGCTCCGTTGAGCATGGACACTGGGCATTCGCTCTTGTGGCCATCGCTGAATTCAATGTGCACTTTACCATCCTTGATCGTTACCTCTGTAATCTCAATGTCCTGTGGTATGGAAAACGTGTCTAGAAGCCGCTGCCTGGTAGCCTCGTGCACACAACTACTGCATTGACAGTTGTCTCTCAGCCAGATATTGGGAATCGGCTTATCCCTAACGAACACTCTTTTCTTCTCGATCCTGACGGCACCCGGGTCATGAAAGCACATCAGTTTTCCCCGTATTATATACGGTCCCTGGACCGTCCATGGAGGACTGCGACGCTTGGCGTGGATGTTCTTGAGTTCCCTTTCAATCCTTTTCAACTCTTTGGCCCCAGCTACGAGTTTATTGAAGTTCTTCGGGATAATACTTTTTGTCGAAGTTTTAGAGCCTTGGGTAGATTTTTCTTCGGCTGCTGTAGCTTCTTGTGGATGCACATCATCGCTTGTTGCTGGTGTGGAGGATGTGTTCCGTCGTAGTTGAGTCTGATCAACGTTTAGATACAAATAACCCTATATGGTGATCCAACCTACTTGATGAATCGACAAAGGTAATGCTGAGATGTTTTTCGTAGAGCGCAAGTTGTGACTGAGACTGCATGAAGTGAGCGATTGTCCTGTGAGTGTGCAGTAGAATATCTCGTGACATACAATTGACTTCGGTTATAAAAAACCGCACGTCGCGCGGCCGAAGACATATCTTGTAGTTGAAAATATGTATGTGTATTCAGTCACACAAATTGGTATGCATAGACGTGCGTCATTCAATGTGCAATTCAGTGATGAGGAGGGTTGTACCGTTGTATGCAACGTCAAAATGTTCGGAGATCGTCGTCGAAAGACCCAACGCCTCGGTTCGTGATACCGGTACCAGGACCGGTAACGCCAGGGCGTGGTTGACACGGATAGCATCTTCGGGCACATCAACCCGCAACACGAAACCGCTCCATCTCCAAAAAAGAATTTATTGTAATCACAACGCTAGATTGGAACGCAGCATGTAGCTTTAATGGCCACGAACCATCCTTGCAGAGCGTGCATTTCTTCCAGGCATGTAGTTTGTGGTGTGCAAATGCCTGATATTGCTGACCACTGGTTGTTACAAGGCCTGGTGTGGCCAAAGGTTGATTTGGCATTGTATGATCTCAAGGGCGACTGTGGGCTGGGGTCTCGGCTGACTAGTGCCCAAGTTTTCAGGATTATAAACCATCTAAATTCTAAAAATCCTATTCAATGCTTCGAAAGTGAACTAGACTGGCACCATGGCCTAATGGTAAGGCGTTGCTTTCCGGTGGCAAAGATTGAGGGTTCGAGTCCCTCTGGTGTCGATTTTTGGTTTTATTGACTTATTCTGCTGTTTCGTTTGTTCTTTTTTTGCCATTTCTCCCTTACTTTTTAGTATAAGCAGTAGGTAGGCACTCGGCAGGAAAGCATTTAGCACAGCCATAGCACGCAGTAGATTTTATCTTAAATACTGTGAAGAATACAATAGTCTAATCTCGGGACGATTATAAGCTTTGAGAAAGATTCTTTGATTGCACATAACTATTTCCAGCGCTGTCTAGTATCTCTTGACAAGTTGAGGGTGGGTACCTGTGGTGGACTAAATTAACGAGCCCCCTCCTGTCATTACATAGCTTCATTTTCTTTGCGACATGTATCTTCTGAGATCTTGCGGGCTTATGTTACCTCCTCGTCTCTATATAGTGGGACCAGTCTATCACGTTCTCATCTTGGTGATATCGCCTAGTTCAAGCAGAAGGTGATACTTGTCGCTGTATTACGGAGTGATGAAGATGGTATTAGAGAGGCAAGTAACAAATGAATTCGGAGCAAGCATCAGCATCAAGTATCTGTTACTAAGTATAAAGGAAACTGTCCTACACTATAAATCCAAGTTGCAAGACGAACGCGACAGACGCGCGACGTGCCAAGACTCGGAGATAAGTGGCGCCGGCGGTCATGGTGGACCTTCACTTTCGTAATCCATAGCTGCCTCCACCGCAGCTCCACACTGCCGCCGTTCAACCACGGCCATCCACACCCAGAACACGATCGTCAAATACCATCACTTCATTGAAACCCTCCAAAAGGTAGTCGCCATCCCGAACAAGGTAGCTCGCCTCACATCGCCACCATGTCAACACTCGAAGATCTCGACGACCTTGAGCGCCACGAGAAGGAGGAGAAGAAGGATGAAGACAAGAAAGACGATGGCAAGGACGGCAAGAAGGCCGACGGTGATGCGGAGATGAAGGATGCGGAGCCAGAGGAGGAACAGCTCGACGAGGAGATCCTCAACTCAAGTACACGCGACATCATCGCGCGGCGGCGGTTACTGGAGAATGACATGCGCATCATGAAGAGCGAATACCAGCGTCTCACGCATGAGAAAGCATCGATGAATGAGAAGATCAAGGATAACCTTGAGAAGATTGAGAACAATCGGTATGGCTAATTCTCACTGTCGGATACAGGTGGGGTACCTTCTGTCATCCAAGGCTAACATACCATCAGACAACTACCGTACCTTGTCGGCAACGTCGTCGAGATTCTTGATCTGGACGTATCAGCGGAGGCAGCGGAGGAAGGTGCAAACATTGATCTCGATGCCACCCGCGTAGGCAAGTCTGCAGTCATCAAGACATCGACGAGGCAAACCATCTTCCTGCCCCTCATTGGCTTGGTAGACCACGAGAAGCTCAAGCCTGGCGATCTCATCGGCGTAAATAAGGATTCATATCTAGTCCTGGACACACTACCTGCAGAATACGACAGCAGAGTCAAGGCCATGGAGGTTGATGAGAAGCCAACGGAGAAGTATACTGATGTTGGCGGTCTCGACAAGCAAATTGAGGAGCTAGTCGAGGCTGTTGTATGGCCGATGAAGGAGGCGGAGCGATTCAAGAAGATCGGCATCAAAGCACCAAAGGGTACGTACGTGACTCGACTGCCCGACAACTATCTCTAACTCACTACAGGTGCTCTCATGTACGGCCCTCCTGGTACCGGCAAGACGCTTTTGGCACGAGCCTGCGCTGCACAGACCGACGCCACCTTCCTCAAGCTCGCCGGACCACAACTCGTACAAATGTTCATTGGTGATGGCGCGAAGCTCGTGCGTGACTGCTTCGCCCTAGCAAAGGAAAAGGCACCCTCGATCATCTTCATTGACGAACTCGACGCCGTCGGCACCAAGCGATTCGACTCTGAAAAGTCTGGTGACAGGGAAGTGCAACGAACCATGTTGGAACTTCTCAACCAGCTCGACGGTTTTGCGTCTGATGACCGGGTCAAGGTGCTCGCAGCGACGAATCGGGTAGATGTCCTAGATCCTGCCCTGCTCCGTTCCGGTCGTTTGGACAGGAAGATTGAATTCCCGTTGCCCAACGAGGAGGCTCGGGCACAGATTATGCGCATCCACTCACGGAAAATGACAGTGGACGAGGGTGTGAACTGGCAAGAGTTGGCTCGCAGTACGGATGAGTTTGGTGGTGCGCAGTTGAAGGCTGTATGTGTTGAGGCTGGCATGATTGCTCTGCGAACGGGTCACCAAAAGATTAGCCACGAGCACTACGTGGATGCCATTTCTGAGGTGCAGGCGAAGAAGAAGGACACGGTCAACTTCTACGCATAGATATGGGTGTCCAGAGCTGTGGGCGGTCGCTTGTATGCGCGCCCCTGCATGCCACGCTTGTATTACTTCCTACTTGGGGTTTTTCGGCAGTACAGACCATGAGAATGAAAAACGACATGAGCTATATAACTTGACGACTTTTTGTTTTTCCACACGCTGCATGATTAGCTGTAGTCAACATTTGCCTGAGCTTGTGTTTTGATTGCAACCAAGGTACGGTCCATAAGCCTTGCGACCCAAATCATCTGACTCGGCAAGTCTGCTAGCAGCGTAGGCCACCAGCCGTGACATATGCCGAGCTCACTCAAGCCATAGGTGTTTCATAGCCAGCCAGACAACAGGACGAGTGTTTGGTACAAGGGATCTCACCTGTAACATGTACCGAGCGCTATCACCCCATCCGATGCGCCTTGTATCTATGTCCTCTTGCATTGTCATCACTTAGTTTAGCACGCGTGCCCAAGACGCCTTCTGATTGGTCCGATGCAACAACAGACGACCATCGCTCTTCGTCGCTCAACACCACGCAAACCCCCAAACCCCCAACCCACGCGCAACCACAATTCACACTGATAGGTCGGCGTCTCTTTACTTCTCCCTCCAGATTCCACGCCCGTTCGCAGAAAAAGGTCTGGAGAAGGTTTCGGTCCTACCTACTTGGACCCTGCATGGGCATGTCTGCGAGGCGGCTGTTGATCGAGGGGCAGGTATGGTAGGCTAAACAGTTAGGGAAGAGGGGGGAATTGTGTACACAAGCCCCTCGGCGAAAGCTACGTTCTTGCATGCCGTTTTCAGATCGTCGAGGACATGTGCTGTGTTCTATTGGCTATCGTAGTCTCGTGGGATTGGACCGACGAGAAGCTTTGTGTACCGTGTCTGTTCCGTTCGTTTACCAGTGTAGTGCCATCATGTGTGCCTGCGTGGTGACGAAAGCGAAGTAGGAATCACTCATTGGGGTTCTCGGAAGCATTTCTTATAGCCCCTCCATCATGTTTGTGTATACCCCTCGTTTTCCCCTCTGCTTTTACTCCTTCTTGTCGTCTTGTTCATTGAAAGAGAAAAAAGAGTCAAGGTCGCAAATATGCTGGTTCTTTCAGGTTTCCTACCTCACGATCCTTTTCACCAGCTTACCATAGCTCTGTGCGTAATTGCATTGTTTCTTGCAGCCGTCTTTGTACTGGCGTTGAGACCAAAGGCAAAGGATCAGTCGCCAGGCACGGTCGAGGCCTATCTCAGGTTCATCTATGGGTGTTTCTTGAAGCCTCATACTGGCGACGGATCTGGAAGTCAGCAAGATGCTTTGGTAAGTGCGAGCCTGGCAAGGTGCTATTCGCGGTCGCTAAACCATCCAAAGGAGAGCTTCTACAAGGCACAAGCAGACGTTTACGATGCGACTCGACTCAGGCTCCTACGTGGCCGCGAGGATATGCTGGGTCTTGTATCTGCGCAGCTGAAGCACCGCGTCGAGGCCGGGCTGATCTCTCAACGTCCAGTCTGGGTTGATATCGGTGGAGGGACTGGTCACAATGTGGAGCAGATGGACGCCTACCTATCAGTCCCAGATTTCTTCCGCGCAGTCTATGTCGTGGACCTCTCCCCAAGTCTTTGCGAAATGGCTCGCAAGCGATTCACTCGTCTTGGATGGAAAAACGTCAAGGTCGTCTGCCAAGATGCCCGCGCCTTTCGCCTTCACGAACACGAGCCAGAAGCATTCGAACGCAAGCAGATTGTTTCCATGGGCCAAACAGTACTTGACCTGGATGAGAATGCAGATGCTGGTGGTGCCGAGCTGGTCACCATGAGCTATGCGCTGTCCATGATTCCAGAGTTCTACTCTGCGATTGATTCACTGGATAGTCTCATGAGCCCGAATGGCGTCATTGGCGTGGTAGACTTTTATGTCCAGAACCAGGTCGACTTCATGGGCAGAAACTATATGGGCGGCGCCATCGATCGTCACTGCATGTGGATCTCTAGGGTCTTCTGGCGAACGTGGTTCGAGATTGACCGCGTCAATCTTGAACCTGCACGTCGGGTACGATGTATGTCCTTGACTTCTTGCACTCCTACTAAACATCATAGGATTATCTGGAATACCGCTTTGGCACCATTCTTGGTATCAACGCTCGGAACAACTTCTTCGGCAGTGGCATAAAGCTTCCTTATTACATCTGGGTAGGCTGTTCGAAAAATCACGGCGCATCCACACAAAAGCTTGCCGAAATCGATGCAGCTGCCACTGAATCCCCGTACCTATCCGCTCTCGATCTCCAAACAGGTGCGAGTCAGACTGATGTCGAGTTGCATTCGAAGGCATACGAATCTGCCATTGTGAACCTCCAGTCTAGCCTACCGCTACCTGCGACATGGTACCAGAATCACCACTGGCGCATACACTACGACTCTTCCTTGCCTAAACATACCCGGTTCAACAACTCGTACATCTATGCATTTACATGGGAGGACGATGTAGCCGATATGCGGATATTGAAACCCACGGCCAGCGATGTCGTTTTGGCCATTGGTTCTGCAGGCGACAATATTCTAGCCTTTTGTCTCGAAAACTGCCGTCGCGTACATGCCGTCGATCTCAACCCCTCGCAAAACCATCTGCTTGAACTCAAAGTTGCAGCCTTCACGGCACTCGGCTACCAAGACGTCTGGAAGCTGTTTGGCGAAGGCAAGCATGCCGACTTCCACAATATCCTCATCCAGAAACTCAGTCCCCATCTTTCCAGTGAGGCGTTTCAGTTCTGGCTGCACAATGGGCCTTCGGTCTTTGCCTCACCATCCTCAAAGGGTCTGTATTACTCTGGTGGTTCAGGCAATGCGCTCTCCGCAGCTGTTTGGCTCTTCCGTCTCCTAGGCATGTCTGCCGACGTCAAGAAGCTATGTGCTGCACAAACGTTGAATGAACAGCGCGAGATTTGGCAGCGCAGCATAAAGACTGTGCTTCACTCCAAGATCCTCACCTGGGCCATTCTCGGCAACGAAAAGTGGCTGTGGAAAGCGCTCGGCGTCCCGCCCGCCCAACGCGCCGTCATCGAAGTCGACTTCAAGAAACAAGAAGACTATGACGAAGTCAAGTCTACCACACCGAAAAAGGACGCGGGTGAGGACTACATGGCGTTCCATGAAGAGCCTAGCGACGATGCGCTGAAGACCAATTCTGGAAATGCAATCTACGAGTACGTGCTCAACACGTTTGAGCCGGTCATCAACTCTACGCTCCTCTCCACTTCAAATCACTACTACCTCCTCTCTCTCCTCGGACATTACACACCGACATCACATCCCACATATCTATCTCCGAAATCACACATCAAGCTCAGCAAACCAAATGCGTTTAACGGGCTACGCATCCATACCGATGAGATCAGCGAGGTCATTGCAAGAATGCGCCCCGGCACACTGACCATCGTAGTTGTAATGGACAGCATGGACTGGTTCCCTCCCACAGGAACCCAAGCACTCAAACAGATCCGCGCGCTGAACCGCGCGTTGAAGATCAAGGGACGCGTCATGCTGCGGAGTGCGGGTGTAGAGCCATGGTACATCAAGGTGTTTGGCGAGAATGGGTTTGCCGTCAAGAGGGTCGCCGTCAGAGTACCGGGAAGTTGTATCGACAGGTGAGTTTGCTTGCGACTGCGTAGGTGTATAAGACTGGTTGCTAACAAGATACATAGAGTCAATATGTATGCGTCAACTTGGGTGTGTACGAAAGAGGTGGGTATTGCGTACGAAGAGGGGAAGTCGCATCGTAGGAAGTCGAGTCTGGCGGAGTTGGAGCTGGAGGCTCCGGCTATGCGGATCGATTAGGCTTACTGGCTGCGTGTGATGTTGGTTCGGAAGCGTGTGCATTGATGGCGTAGATGAGGGGGAGTATTTGCCAATATGATGGTTTTGCAAGACAAGTTGTTGTTGTCCAGTCTTTGGCATGACTTCCCAGCTCATCGCCACATCTTTCAAACTTGACAATATCTGTACCACGCATCTAACCCAGAACTAATTGGCCCCAGAATTAAAGAGCATGGCACGACACCCGTCAGTCTCGTTCACAGCCCTAGCCAGAACGACCACGATACCAGCGACCTCCCACACCCCTTCCACACCCCTACACCACGCAATCCTCCCCACCTCCCAGCTCCATCTCCTACAGCCATTTCCTACAACCAACCATTTTCCCATCCCTCCCTCCCTCCCTCCCGTAACCCCGTCTACCCCCAATCCACCCACCCCACACACGCCGAATAATTTGGTCCAAGCAATATCAAGCCTTTAGCCGAACAAACGCTTACGATATTACCCACGCAACTGCCGATATTACAACTGAACAAGGGTTGCTGCAATAAACCAACACGATATGAAAGTCCTGGTTTTGTTTCGGAGGGGTCGGCAGTTGGGGAGGGTGGTTTGGGTTGGGTGAGGAGAGCAAGAGGGGGTGTGGAAGGGGATTTGTAACACCTAAAAAGGACCCAGCTGTATACCAGGTCGTTTGACTTGTGAAATCTTTCTTCCAACATCCAAAATCCAACGCCTCTTCTATTATCTTCTCTCCTCTCCTCTCCTCTCCCCTCCCCTCCAAAACACCCTCACACCAACATCCTCCCCACCCCAAACCACCACAATGCATCTCCCCCTCCCCCTCCTCTCCCCCCTCCTCCTCACCACCCTCACCCACACAATCCCCCAATTCTGCAGCTCCCAATCCTTCACCATGCTGCGCTTCTGCTGCGCCCAATCCGTCATCGACCGCATCGATCCGCTCGTGAATCCCGGGCAAGCACCCTCGCCACACATGCACCAGGTCGTTGGCGGGAATGCGTTTAATGTGAGCATGGACACAGGGGATGTGGCGCATCGGGTGAGTTGTAC